TCCTCACCCCTACATGCATCTGAGTTAAAATTTCTATTTCCACTAGGCACACTAGTATAGAGACAGGAAAACAAGAGGCAGGAGCAGTAGTCTTGACTTCATCTGTGGAGCACAGGATTTGAAATGACAGCTCTTTCAACACTGACAGCAGTGCCCTCTGTAAGTCGTCGTTTCTCAGCTTTTTTGGCTAGGTAAGACTAGTGCTTTGTGACGATACGTCAAAATTGTTGTGTGTCCTTCTGGGTTACTAACAGCATCAGCATATCCCTTTCAGGCAGCAAACTTTACTCTGTGCAAGAAACGGGGGAAAAAAGAATAAAATGGAATCAATTGTTCCCATGTATACAAGTCCAAATATTGCTCTGTTGCTATTTCTAATATTTACCACAAGAACAGAAATAAATTAGATGACTGAAAAATTTTCAAACACCTTGTTCAAATTCTGAAATAGCCAAGTGGCCGAACTCCCGAATGCCATCCGTCCAGCAGGAGCCATCCCTGCCGCTCAGAGGTTCTGCGTCCGGCTCCCGGCCCGGCAGGCTGGGCCCTCTGGGTGAGCGCAGGGGCACCGGAGGCGGCTGGAGGGTGGCTCGGCAGGGCTGTGACGGGCCAAAGGGGCAGGGGGCCCCAGCCTGCCGCCTGACTCACTGCAGACGTTGCAGCCGGGCTGAGCCGCTGCCGGAACACTCACTGGGCTGCGGTGCCCTGGGTAACCGGTCACCGGCTGAGAGGAAGGTGTCGCGCTGTTTACAGTAGTCCAGCAGCTGGTTCAGACACAGTTCAGCTGTCTGTGAACAGGGGCAGAGACCCTGTGAGAGAGACCAAGATGAGCTCATTGCCTTCAGCAGAGCTGCTGACATGAAACACATCGGAAAACAAGCATTTACTGAAGGTACCAACATAAAAGTTCACATGTGCCATCATTTAGGCTACCCATCAGCTGCTGCGGGTGCTCTCAGATGTAATTAAGCAGGACAAAAGTTTTGAATAAAGTCTGCCTCTAGACATCTTTGCCAGCTGCGCAATCCTAGTAGCCACTTTGTGGCTCCCTGCTTGCTTAAGCTGCCTAAAAAATACCAATAAACTGAAACGCAGGCTTAAATTTAAGCACAGAGTATTTTTGGCACAACTTGCAGCACGGGCTGACTTGTATTACACCTGTTTATGCCAGCCTCGGACTGTGCTTGGAGTAATCACAAGAGCAGTAGGAACAGCCCTAAGACTCAGCTTAGTCTCATGTGCTTTTTAAACATATGTTAAGAGCCCTAAAACAATAAAGCATTCAGCTATAAAAATTGCACACGCCCCAACTTCCTGAAGTGAGAAACTGAGCATCTTTGTCTTCCAGACATCCCGGGCCTGAGCACACGGAGAAACTAATGCAGGGAAATGTCACTCCCACCCCGCGGATAAGATAAACTCTCAGTACCAGCTACAGGAATAACATGACAGGGAGTTAAATGTGTTGTTTTGCGTGCGGCACCAGCTTGAGACAGCCAGCTGAAGACTGAAAGGGAAAAAAAAGGATAAAGGAACCAGCCAGATGTTCTGGACTTCAAACAGTGAAGCTTGTATATATACTTAAAGTCACAGGGTGAATTTCTTTGTCACATACTTAAGTAACTTTACTACTAGCATTTGTTTTTAAATCATCTTCAGGTATTAAACAGTCTTTTGTTTCTCCTGGTAGTTTCTAAGAAGCTTCTAATCCAGCCTATTAACACTAAACAGATATCAGACTTGCAGTTAATCATCCAATTAACATTAATATAACTATGTAATCAGAATCACAGAACAGCCCAGATTGGAATGGACCTCAAAAGATTGTGTGGTCCAACCTTTAATGGAAAGGGAGCCCAGATGAAGTTATCTGGCACCCTGCTCAGTTACATCTAGAAAACCTCAAGCTGGGGACTCCACCACGTCCCTGGGGAGGTTGTTCCAGTGACTGATTGTTCTTGCTGTAAAAAATTCCTTTCTTACATCGAGATGAAACCTCTCCTGGTACAGCTTGTACCTCTTGCCCCTTCTGAACAAGGCTCCTTGTGAAAAGCGAGCCTCTGCACAGAGATCAAGATCCATCTTCAATCCTGAGCCATCAGCCAGCTCATGCAGTTGTGCTCAATACCAAATCAAGTGGACTATAGGTTTTTCACAGAGCTCAAGGCTAAAGGAAAAAGAAGTGGCCAGTGATGGAAAGATAAATGGAGCAATGAGCTGTTATTTCAAATCATCTCCAGCTGAAGGCAGCCCTTGCTGCACTAGTTATACTGAGAAACGTTTCCACAAAATGGGAGTCAAAAAGGCTGGAAATGCTCCAAGATAAAAATGTCTGAGCATACAGAACTTTATCTCTCTGTACAGAGTGAACCAGACAGAGATTTGATGCTACTCACCTTAAACATCTCAAGACACTGATTTCACACAAAGTCATCATGGGGCAAAGTTAAAGTTTATTAGACAAGACTTATCTCATTCGTAATGCCATTCTAGTCGTGTGAACAAGTTTAGCAACACCAAGTTGATCATACAGCAAGGTAACAGTCTGCTCATTAACTTGATTACTGGTCATTTTCATAGTCAGCGGGGTTCTTCCTCTTCAGTCTCTCAAACTCTTCTGTTCCCCAGGAATAAAGGAGATAGCCTCCCAGAAAGGCTGGAAAGGAAAGGGGACACTCACAAGTCGCACTACAACAAGCACAGCACAGAGCGCCTTGAAACACCGAGCTTCTGCGACAAGAGACAGCATTGCACAAGGTCACCGTTACACAGACGCCTGCCCCAGCCTCCCCCATCCCCAGAATAACGGTAGGTGAAGAAAGAAAAACCAAAAGAGAGACTCAGTCCCTCAGGCCGCGCCTGAAGTATCTCCCGCCGTACTCACGGGGCGCCACCTTGAAGACCTGAGACCTGAAACGCCGCCAGACGTTGGGCAGCCCGTGAGAGAAGACGTTGGGGAAGGCGCGCTGTTCGAAGGGCGAGAGGCTGTAGGTGATAACATGACGAACCCGAGCCAGGTTACCGAAGTGAAGGCCCATGGCGTCGCGGTGTCACCTTCCCCACTAACGCTGCTGCCGCTGTCCGACCCCGGAAGCGAAAACGGGGGGGGGGGGTTTCCCCGTTCGGGGGGGGCTG